CGATAAATTTTCTGCGTTAGTTTCTTAACGCTTAAAATTGTATTCATTAGATACATTTGAAGTTTTTCTTCCAATTTACCCTCTTGCGACTTTTGGCATGCTTAAGACTTTTGTGATCCCTAAAGGCTGTTTTCTGTCAACTTTGTTAAATTCTAATATATTTGATGGCAAGGTAGTTCGACGTTCGATGGCCCTAAAGAAGACCGGTGATCTTATCAAGTAAACTTTTTCTTGATTTCAGTTAACAGCAATTGTGACTGCCTGGATACCTCAGGGTGATCTTCTCTGGCCTGCTGTTGAAGCCCCAGACTGATCGGGAGAAAAATGACAAAGTCCGAAGCTTTGGAGCTAGTTGTAAAGATCTTTCCCAACGTCTCCTGGTATAACGTCGAAGACGTTGGTGTCTAAAGCACCTTTTTTATTTGCAGATTCAGTTGTTTTTGTGATCTTAGATGAGGAGATTAGTTAGTGATACTTGCCCGGTGGAGACTGTCCCGTTGGCTCAAGTTTTTTTTCCTTCATAGCTTTTATAGGTTTGCCCAGCGCAGACCTCGGAGAGGATCGGTGATTCCTGGTTGAATGCTTCGAGTCAAGAGGGTATTATAGGGTCGTCGGTCACTGGGGTTCCCATCCTTGCGAAGAACAACTCCGCTCGTGACGACTGCCAGTGAATGGCTGACTTGGTTTAATAGTGGCCGTCTTTAGTTAATGTAGTCTTTTAGTCGACGAATCGCTTCCGGAAATGGTAGTAAAAATGTATTTGTTGGCAAGGTAGCTTACACTTAGGTGGCCCTTAAAAGAACCGATGAAATTGATGGTTAAGTAGGGAACGCAAATATTTATAATGGCCCTAAAAAGCGCCAGTGGTGAAACTTCCAGGCTATTTTTTCTTATTATTCCTGATGATGAAGAGCTGGCTGTAGGTAGCTTGACTCTTACCCTGGAAGTCTCGATGTACGGAGACTGTGATGGAGGGAGGTACGCCGCTGACCAAAGAATATCTCGTCTCGGGTCGTTCCCTGGATAACCAACCGCTCATCGTTAGACGGGAACATGTGGGTAAGCGCGTTGGGGATGCGACGACTAAGAAGGTAGCCGTTGTGGCTGCCCGTGCCCCTCAGAGCTGTTTTCCCTGGCTTACATTTGTAGCCAAAAATTCTCTGACTGCACCAGGCGGGATGATGGGACTGCCACACAACTCTGAAGAGTTGGTGCAGATTGTGCTCTGGCTAGATATGTCTCCTGGTATTGTGGCAGAGACGGCATCGGTTGGAATTAATTTTTTGTTTGATCGCACTCGCCGAGATTCAGGGTGAATGAACACTTACGTCCCTTTCCCCTCAGAGAAGAGTGTCGTCCGTAACCGAGATATCTAGTTGCACGACTTTCATGTTCATTCTCTATGCAGCTCGATGAACTGCCGGGGGACGACTGCAGTATTGTTGGAGATGCTCTGGCGTATTATAACCACACTTATTTAATTCTGTTGCAGGCAGTCTTGATTTTATGTCGACGCCACCTAGCGGATCCTACTGAACTAAAGTGAAAAGCTGGCGTATTTTTGCAAAACTTTGAGCCTATTTATTGTTATTGTTATTCAATTTTTCGAGATTAAAACTATACTAAAACCGTCAAGGAAGTGTCATGAATCAGTGTGAAAAATTTCAGCAACATCGGTTCAGTAGTTTTCGCGGTTAGCGATTACAACGGCTTTATCGACTTTGTTTATATATTAGTAAGATTAGTGGTAGATAAGTAGTCAATTTTTCTCTTTATCAAATTCAATAGTTTTCTCCATTCAAGTTGAAAGGTCACGTGTTTCCTATAAAGGCTCTGTTCGGAAATGATACGTTGGTTAAGTTTTTTTGGTTTGTAACTACCCCCACCCTGGCTTAACTAACTGACCGTGTGTTCGCACATGTAAACAATAGTAAATCAGCTGATCACGTTTTGGCGCACTTTAAGCGCTTTTAAGGTTAAAGAGAGGACTTGAAATCGCTCAAAGCTCAAAGTGCGCCAAAACGTGACCAGCTGATTAACTATTGTTTACATGTGCGAACAGACGGTCAGTTAGTTGAGCCAGGGTGGGAGTAGGTACTACTTCATACTTAACCACCCATCATTTCCGAACAGAGCCAAAATACCTGGAAAAGTTGTGGATGGTTTTGTTTTTGTACAGTGGGTTTTTGCAAAGGTTGATTTTTGGGAAGAATTTAATTTGCCGTCTTGCCGTAAATTGTAGTACAGGAGACAAATTTTTGTTTTCTGTGCGGTAGTTTAGGTTGCGGCAGGTTTGTTAAGGATGTTGCCTACTTTAATTTTCTTCTTAGTAGCCAACTGCGTTATCGACGTTAAGTCGATGGCTGGCAACCTCGCATATTATTTCTTATGTATGTATTATCTTCATTCAAAGTTGTCTGCTTTTGCTCTCAGCTTAGTGCCACGTGTACCTACATACACGTACATGCATGTGATGTGTTTATGTTTTTCTGATGCCTAAACAAAAAAATCACTGGAAAGGTAGATATGTTTCGAAAAGTAGGCACTTCATGGCAGAGATTAGAAGGGAGATTGCCAGTGCCTATGGTAGAGAGTGTGTCGCTTTTTTTCCACTGTTTTGAGCGCCCCGTCGCGGCAAATCAGACGAACTATACGCACGTTTCAGCAGCGGAGGAGAAGACCAAATTGTGCGTACGATAGGTACCTAGTAGAGGGGGAAGGAATATGTGCGTATANAAAAAATTAGTTTACACCTTTTCATTTTGTTCATCACATTTTGAAACAGATCATTCAATACAAAAATCATAGATTTTTTAAGAATACACTATTTTAAAAGCCATATCCTGTGTCCTTTGGATAGCCAAGGTGGTTAAGGCATATGCCGCTTCGCGGATTGTTTTGCAATCTTGGGTTCGATTCCACATCTTGGCAGATTTTTTTTTTTTTTTTAAATTATGTAATCAATCATTTTGTTTTCATTTCTTTTACTTAAGTTTCGTTTAAAAATATATGGGACGTCAATAATTTTTTTTTCCGATACGTCAAAATAAATATATTTTTAATACTAATTCTATGAACTAACTTGTTACTTTGATACTTCTTGTTAGCAAGGCCATTCCAGATTTTATAATAATACTAAAATAACTTTGAAGGACATGAATACAATTAATACATTTTAAAACTCCTATGAAATTATGAAAATCCTATTAACGAAAGAAAAAAGCTTGAGGCAGAAGAAAACTTCTACTTTTATTACAATAATATCAAATATGATTATCACCAGCAAAGTACAACCTACATCCAATTTTACGCGAATATTTGTCTATATGAACATATAATGAATGAATAATATATTCTATATTAGATCCACAAAAATGTCACTTATAGCTTCGTATCTGATGAATAGATTTTGCTGAAACCTATGTTAATATTAAGGTAACGGAAAAGGTGTCATTATTCGTGAGAAAAAAAAAATTTTTTTCTTTAAAAGATTATCTTTGAAAAATTCTTCAAGTCCTGATGTAAAATTAGTAAAAATATGAAAAAATTTGTTCTCTACTTTAGTGTACCAAACGACTGGAAATCATTAGAAAGGAAAAAATAACTAGTCTCTNCAATTTTTTATTTTATACGAGGAAAACTCAGTATTTAGCTGTACAAGTATTTAATACACATTTAATGAATAATATATGACCGGACATATAATAACTGTCCAACATTCAAAACCGCTTTTGAGGGAACATCACATCAGGAATAGATATAGGTATACGCATGCATGCGAGAGCTGCGAGCTGCGAGAGCCGGGAGCCGAGAGCCGAGGCAGCTAGAATACAAAACATATATAGCTATACCCGTGTATACGCACATATTCCTTCCCCCTCTACTAGGTACCTATCGTACGCACAATTTGGTCTTCTCCTCCGCTGCTGAAACGTGCGTATAGTTCGTCTGATTTGCCGCGACGGGGCGCTCAAAACAGTGGAAAAAAAGCGACACACTCTCTACCATAGGCGCTGGCAATCTCCCTTCTAATCTCTGCTTCATGGAATCAATCACACCCTTTGACTTTTTCAATATACCGCCAAGTGACACTACAGCTCCGAGTATTAGCTTCTGCTGGCTGTAGATGCAACGTTGCCACATATTTTTGATTTAGGTTACTTTTATTATTCTGTCTCAAATATTTCCGTAATATCAATGATAACAACAGTTGAAACTTTGCACAATTGTTTTCACACTTAATTCTCTCTACACCTAAAATCTTGTTGTCCTGTGTGATTTTCATTACACTTTTTAATCAAAAATATACAGCTGTCCCATAAGAGCATGTGTTACCCTATCTAAAGTATCAATACTAATTCATTGTTGAAATCAACATTGATTCAATGTTCAAATCAACGCTGAATCAACGTTGAATAAACGTTGATCAATGTTGAGTTTAATATTGAAATCAATTATAAAACGCAACGTTGCAACGTTGAATTTCCGTTCATTTCGTTGTCACATTTGTCAATAATTAGTATTTTAACGTTTGATTTCAAAAAACTTTTATATTTTAGACGCTCTTAATGTTCATTTACTCGATTTTCATCGACTCATAGAGATATCGGCGGATGTGCAGTTTAAGACATCCTTTAAGAAATTTACTTCAGGTGTCACAGTGCTGGCAACATAGTGTGATGTGGGAAGTTAAAAATTATGAATGCGGTAAATTTAAATTTTTCTGCTGAAAAAGTGTATTTTTTAAATATGCGGTTGGTTTGTTCTGTCGATACTTATAAGGATTTGTTTTTTTTTTTTCAGCGTGACCGAGCGAGCGAAGGTCGCGAGGGCGCAAATAATTTTGATTCCCACAAAGAATTTCAAATTCACCACGTGTACAATTTTGAATTTCCTGCGCCACGTTGTGTTGGTAACACTCCGGAAACTGTAGCTAACTCCTCAAAGGGTATTTTTAACTACACTTTTACCGTTCTTCTACGTGAGAGGAAGAGATGTGGCTGGTTTAGATTTTTCACTACCCTCGGGCCTCAGCCTTGGTCTATTATTGTATTAGCTTTCGGACGCTTGACAAGAAAATGGTGTTATCTCATTATTTTTGATACGCACCCAAAAAATTCGTAAGCTTATAGTGACGAACTGGCTAGAAGTTTTCGGTGCAAGTATATTGTTATTGACTTAAAGTTTACCCGCTGTTTAGTATAAAATGATTAAGGGGCTGAACTGTAAATTAGTGTTTTATATAAGACATGAAATGAATACATCCGTGAGTGTTACACAATTTTAAATTAAACGAAAATTTATGTAGCCATAAACGTAAAATTAACGAATAAGGGAAGAACTTACGAGAATTCTTTAAATCATGAGTTAAAATGCAAAATCGGTTAATCATGCATTTGTTAACTAAGTAATAATTGTTCAGTTAAGTCTATCTACCATTGCGTTAAAAATTTATAAATACACACGTTTAAATACTCGTACTATTGGACATAGTTTCTTGTTACGAAATATTAAAGTATCCCTCAAGTGATCTGTTGTGTCCACTACATTCATTAAAATGTTTGCAATATCCCAAGAAAAATGTCCAAGAGATCTAATGTATTTTTTACTTTAAAAATCGACATGCATTTGGTTGGATTTGATTGCACTTGTGATAGTTCAAACACCAATAATTTATAGCTTTTTAATGTTATTAAATCAGTTCAAAATCCTTGATAAGAATACTTTTGAACACATATCACTTCTCATCAAAAAGTACCTAGAGTACTGAAATGCTTCTTTAGTCTTCATTATTGCAATTTACATCAAGGATTTGAAAAATTGTTATAAATTAATTTGTACATACTAATGAGTACAGTTTTTTTAAGAATCCTGTATTTCGATGTTTATGTTTTGATCGTAAGTCTAGGGTCTAGTTTAGTGAAAGATTGATTTCTAAAATGTTACTAATTATTGTTATTTTTTGAGGTGTCCAAATTCTGTATCAACCAATATAGATACTAGTAGAATAGGACAGGTGAAACAAGAAATCCTCGCAAGGGTGTGCATAGGTGACTTATAATCTTAAGACCTTCAGCCAAACCTTAGCACGGAAATTCAATTTGATCTGGCACATAATAAGTACAAATTAAATTTGTTTTAAATTGAGAATAAGATTCTTTCTGGGCGGTTTTTTTGCAATTACATTTGTAAATTCACTTTCAATAACATTTGGTTTACCAAGTGAATCCCTAAGATCATGGACACGAATTCCAAAGACAAAAATTCCGACGAAAAATTCCGTGGATCAAAATTCCAAAGACAAACATTTCGACGAAAAATTCCGTGGATCAAAATTCCAAAGACAAAAATTTCGAAACTATCTCAGTGGACAAAAATAAAAAAAAGTTTGTAGGTAGCACTGAAATGAATGAATTCCATGTTATTTATGATGTTAAAACGATTTATAACATTGTGGTTAAAGCTGGCCCAAATTTTTAAACTGCTAAAGAACATACCTAGTCGAGACATTCATTAAATTTAGAATTTTACAAACAAAATATTTGTAAACAAAAACAACACTAGTCTATTTAAATTTACACTGCTTAGTATATAGGACAAAAAAATAATGTCTGCATTAAGGAGGCTTGGGCGATTTTGAATTAAATACTGGCTAGGTCTGAAATTCAGAGATTATATAGATAAAGTTTGCTAGATTTTTTTAGGAGAACAAAATAGGTAGGTCAACACATTTATTTTCGAGAAAATCGCTTGTGAAAATTCGTCATTTTAACACGTAATCTTACGGAACCCGAAATTCAATAGACTACCGTACCGCAATAAAAAGCTGTGGGCCCACACATTAAATTGGTACATGTACTTGAAAGTATAAAGAATCTATTATTTAAAAAAAAGANTATGAGTATCTAATGGATGTTTTATAATTATGAAGATATTATTCAATCAAAAAAACGCTAACTATAGTATATAAAGATGCAATTTAGGGTTCACACGGTACACCGTTGTATTTTGACTAAGAGCACGTCTCAGGTAGTACCGCCAATGCTGGAATTCAGTACCAAATTTTTCAGCATGAAAGCATTGGACCTTATGGAAAAGGTTCTATTTTAATTAACTACTATTCTATTTTCATGTGGCACTTTATGAAAGTGGTACTTAGTACAAGATATTGGAATAGTTAATCGAAAAAAATCATTCAAAAGAAAACAAATCAGCAGAAGAACGAGAAATCAAGGGTCATGGGGCTCTTCAGATTAACAACACGTATCGCATCCGTATGTTACATCCGATGAGCTGACTAACCTTGCCTGGCTAGAGTAGATTTAATTTCGACTATGTAACTAAGAGAGTGTAGTAATCACTCAAAAATAATTTGAATTCGATAAAGTAATACCAATATCGTGTAAGAAGTTCTAATTCCGTAAATAACGACATGAAAATAGAATTGTAGTAGATAAAAATAGAATGATTCCCATAAGATCCAACACTTTCATTCTGGAAAATTTGGTACCTAGTATGGTAGAATTAGCGAAAAATCATAACGATATCCCCGAAATTCTGACCAGCTCGAAAAAAAATAAGGTAGTAGTTTCAATGTATTATAATAAATTGGAATGGAATTTAACAAGTAGAAATGTCAGCAAGAGCTCAAAAAAAATGGCAAAAATGACCAAAACATGTTTTTCGCGTCTAGAAGAAAACCGAAGTATCGTACATGAAAAAGTGTTCCTTGAAAAATTTGTGCATTTTAAAGACGAACAAAGTAAGCCTCGTTGGGTTCAGATCAGTTTAGCTATTTTCTCGCAAATCGCAAAAACTGACATTTTGAGCCATTTTTTCGAAATTCAATACCTCGCATTCTATACAATATTTGGAGCTGAAATTTTACTACAAGACAGATATCATTTTTATCGTACACACAAAATTTCAGCTTAATCGGTATCAAACTTTTAGCGAACTGCAGCCAAAACAAAAAAAAGATCCTCTTGAAAAATGTCCATAAAAAAGTTGTTAGCCAACATAGGTACATAAGTATTCCGGCATTGGTGGCACTATCTGAGATGTGCTCGTAGTCAATACTAAGCTGCCAATAACTAGTACTTACGTCTGCCTCAAATTGCTCAATTTATTCATTGTGATAATGCTTACATGCAGAAAACATGCCTTAAAAACAAAAAATATTTTTATGTATGCGCCATTAAAACTCATCATACAGTAAAAATTATGGGCTTGGACATGAGTATTGTATTAAAACAGTCACAAAAAATAATATTAACAATTTATAAACTTTAAAAAATATTTCATGTTTAAGGAATAATTACATTATACTTTTAGTATACCAAAAACCCGAGATGATAGAAAGTATATGGTCAAGAGGGCCACTGAAAATTTAACTGTATATGTACGAGATAAAAGAAGAGAAGTAAATAAGAAAGTAAGCAGATACCGCAGGCGCTAGCTACAACTACAGTCTTGCAAAACTAATTTTCTATAATTAATATTGAAAGATAGTCAATACTTTTATTTTAAAATAAACAAAAAATAGTTTTGTTAATTATGTATTACATTTAAGTATAATTTGAAGCCCTACAACACTTCCAATGGATTAATATTCCTTGACAATACCTGACATATTTTTAGCTCACTAATATTTAACATTAATCGAACTTCACTCGATTATTTTAGCAGAGTTATTCCAGAGATTAGTAGGGAGATTGCTGACTGCCATGCTACGGAGTGTGCCCACTTTTTTCCACTGTTTTGAGCGCCCCGTCGTGGCAAAGCGGCCGAACCAGGCGCACATTTTTTATTTTATTTGAGAAGCATGGTAGAGGTATGCGCTTACGAGGAGAGGAATGGATTCGCGTGGAAATGGGCATATAGGCGCACATTTTGGAGACGCGTGGAAGGGGTATATACCGAATGTGCGCCTTCGAGGAGAGGAGTGGAAATGTCGACTATAGCTATATAGCTGAGCGACAGCCGAAGCAAGCGACGACACGAGTTTTTCTCTTTTGACTGCAACCGAGTATATATATGCT